TACATGCAGGGTACTGAGTGACAAAATAATGTTTACATATACATGTACATGTAGTACATATCCGTCACCCTTCTTCCTGTAAGCAGCCATGCCAAAATAAAAATGTAGAGCCCTTGATGAAGATATTCAAGCATCAATCCATTCCCAGGAATACTGATTAAGCTTATCTTTTAAAACATTGATTTCGTTTTCGTCGTAAAATTATCTGTTTAATATTAAAAAGCCAGCTTGTTTTGAGACCAGATTGGGGGACATGAGCAGCAGAGTGAAGCAACTAATAGTAAACAAACAGCACAAAATTAAACAGCAATATAAATAATCACGGGCCCTAATGACGAACTCTGAATCAATCTGTATGTTAATGATATACATGTAAGATATAGTCGTTCTGACCTTACGCAAGTATTTTCTTCCCCAGAAAATCATCTTGTCGCGTTTGCGAAACCTTGGCTTTGGGGAACCTGGAGCTTCATTTGGGACCTCAACTGCAGTTAAATAGAGGACAAGTATACAAAGCAAGTTCACTATGAAACAAAGCTGCTAATAACCGAGAGAGGGTAGAAATCCTAGGGCAATTTACCTTTCCTTCGAAATTTCTTGATAAAATAGATAGACACAATGACGGCAGCTATGAACACAGTTCCTATGACAAGATTAACCTAAAATGAATCATAAAAATACAGTCAATGCATTGCTTGTTAACTCCAATATTTCTTTCATGTGGTAACGTACCGAAACCTCCGAAAAAAGTTGGATTTCACGAAGTTTTTCTCCGATAAAGTTGGCAGCCATCTTTGCTGCAGCCATCGTGTGTTTACTGTTGTGAAGTTAACCGCTGGCGAGCAACATTTGTGGGCTTGTTTTTATTGCTGCCACGTTGTAGTCGTGCGAGATAGGAATCTTGCATATATTTCACCAAGAAACGCATAGATTTGAAAAGAGTTTCTAATAAAGCTCAAATGGCTGAAAGAAAAAGAAAAAAACAGTTAACTTTCTAAATATAAATGTTTTTAGTCAAGGTTGGGGTAACCCCATAAAACGGAATTCATTACATACCGCGCTGAACGATAATTAAACTGCGCAAATTAAATTCGTATTTGAAAGATAAAAAGAAAAGTAATTTAAAATAGCCCATATCATATTGGTTTTATTTATTTATATATGTTGTTGATGCAATTACAATTTTGTTTTCATGCAGATAATTATACCGTTAATTTCTTAATAAGAAATCGAAGTGATGACGTAAATCAGATTATGACGCGATGATAAAATAACATGTTGATGGATACATACAGATCGCTTAGTTAAACTCGTTTTTTTTTTTTTTCTTTTTCGATCTACATATAACAGAAAAGAAAAGAAACCAATTTACTAACCTCTTCACCACAAGCATGACAACGGCATTAGAAGTATATACAAGACGTGGTGTGGCCCAAGAACGCAAAAAGATTCACGAGTCTTCGGAGTTCATTTATCCACTGCGCGAAAAAAGTAAAGGCAAGCATATCCCAAGGAAGCAAACCATTGGTTCCTTTGGCACAACGTCCTACTCAGTAGACTTTGCTAAAAAAGAAGGAAAGCCAGCAATACCCAGGCCCTGCTCTGTTACAAGACGAAATCGACCGCACCCATCTCAGGTATAGACCTTCGTGTGTTGGCAAGTGGGAAGTAGCATACTATCTTTCATGCTTAAAATGGAAATTTGTACGTTGTCTTGCCATTCGTAATTCCTATTTTTTGTCCTTCGCTTTTGCCAGAATCACACTAAAGGATTCAACAGCTTGTCACAGTGTTGATAAATGACGGCATTATGCTGACATTGATGCTAATTTTCTTCTTGACTTCCTCAGAACTTCCTAAACTGGAGAATTCCTTCGAATCCGATACTGGGACCGAAAAGTAACGAGGCTATTAAAGTGTTTTTGAATTCATCAGATTTGGAAACAAAAGAACGATTCTATGACGACTATGTTGGAAGATTTAGTAAGTATGCAACCGTGCACTTCGATACTTCTTATAGGAAATTTTTTAAAATTATTACTTATTTATTATAAATTAACCATTACGTTTTTAGTATAAATTAATTATTATTTATTTAGTATAAATAAAGATGCAGTGTAGAATTAAGAAGTATATACAAGTAGAGTGAATGGAAAGTTTCTGCCACCAAACATCTATCTTCCCGTGAAGGCCGACCTGTTGAGTGCAATGTTTTTGTTTCTATTTCTTTCTTTGTAACGTAGATTTACAGAAGTGTAACAATTGTCAGTACATCAGCAACCGCGCACCTCGTTATTCACCAAGTAAGAGAAGTATAACTACTCACTAAATTTAAGAAACGTTTCACGCCAAAGAAGAAAAACAAACTGATCCAGTAAAAATTCATTTTAAGTTCTCTGGAGGTAATTACTTTTTAAGAACTCAGTTTTGATGAGGTAAGACGGTAAATACAACAGAACCACGCCCTCCAACCACCCCGTCAAATTCATCCCCTAGTTATCACGGCCTCCTTTTCGGCCAAAGCAAAACTCTAAGTTAATCTGTAAGACTCTTTTGGTCTCAAAGAATCTTTTTAACACGGTTAACTCTTCAATACAACCCCAATGGTATAACTCAAACGTGTTTAATAACAAATTATCGGTTTACCATCAGGGATGGAGAAAAGTGGAAAGTTAATAAAGGGGGAGGTGGCTTATTAAAGAACGATTAAGTGTTGAAGGGAATGGAAAATTTCAGAGCTTTTGATGGTGGATATAACTTATTTCTTCGAGCCCTTGTTTATAAATTAGCTTTTTCTTTTAACTTAATGGGCCACAAAGTAAACCACTGGGTCACCAGCAATTACGTTTTTTTACCCAATAAAGTTTTATTATTATTTTTATTATTTCGTTAGAACTCAGGCCTCTTCATCGAGCTGAATTTGAAGGCGAAAACAACGAAGAAACAACCGGTTCTCTACCTAAAGTAAGTGACGTAATTTTATTGGAGGTGTCAATTCTCTTAATTTTAGTTAGCCAGGGATCCCCTCCTACTAGGTAATAAAGGGCTGCCCGAGTACGAAATGGGAAATTGTTTCTGTAACCGAATCATAACTCTTTTTGTGGCAGCAGTTTAGTCAGTCTCTGCCTAAAAGTATTGTGTATGATCATGCATTGAGCAGTTTTCATTTGAATGTCGAAAAGTAATTGAATTTTGCATGACCTACGCTACACGATTGGCTTAGAAAGAACTCGCGCCACTTTTCATCTAATCAGAAGTAAATCCAAAACCAATTCAATAGCCCACTTTTGATGTATTAAAATTCAGCTTGATAGTGAGGCCTAGAGGACACAAACAAAAGAAATGAATAAACATTGTCATTGAATTTCCTTTGTTTGTGTCCTCTAGGCCTCACTGCCAAGCTGAATTTTAATAAATCGACAACAGTCTATTGTGATTCACTCGCACTCGAGTTTTGATTGGTTCACTGAATTTTCTGTGTCTTTTGTGATTGGCTAGAGTAATTACTTTAATTTAGTTTGGTTTTACGACACTCAATTGAAAACTGCTCTATCAACGAAAATATTGCTCTTTTAGTGCATCATGCCACCGTTATGCATCTCAAAAGATGCAGGGAAGCTGTATGATTCCTTAGTGACCAAAACCTCCCCTAAAGGTAGGTATTGATAGAACTATTTCAAAGGTTCCTTTCTTCAGTTTAAACACAGTAACCTCTTTACCTGTGGTACGCGAATTGAAAACTTCGTCCTCCATCGTTCTACATGACATAAAATGGTGAGGAAATGAAAGGGGGACTGTAATATACTACGTGTGGACAGATATTGAAAGCGTATTCGTGTTTAACCAGTTCCATTTGAATTTTTTACGAAAATTACTCTGTGTCCGTGCGAAGTCACGAACTTCCCGTGCAAAGATTTAAGCACCTGGTAGATGGTAAAATTTACACTTTTTTCTGCTTTTCCCACAATAACCTCTTGCAATAATACTTATCTTACTTGACATTTTTAATGCAATTTGGAAATTTTCTTGCGAACTGTAGAGAGGATGATTATTGAAAGTTGTTTAGACGCTGGAGACCGCGGATTCTTAGGAACGGTAAGGCGTTGATGAACTAATAGTCAGTTATCAATAGCCATATTGATAAAATAAACGAGCTAGTCCACACATTTTTGAATGATAACATAATACTTACTTATTTACTGTACTTATTACCAGCACAATAATTATCTTTCCATAGACTTTCTTTCTTCGGTTGTTTTAATTTGATAGCTCCTTTTTTTTCTGAATCCTTTTTCAGAGTTTGGCAAACACAATTCAAGCTGAGGCGATACCGGCCATTCACCAGTGGCTTAAATCTCAGAACTTACCAGGTAATCGCTCGTTTTCCTGTACTGGGCACCATAACTATTACCCTCTATCTGAAGTAATTACTGTCGTGAAACTAATCTCGGTCACGACAGAAGAATGAACCAATCAGAACTCGAGGTAAAAACAGTTCTCGACATCTCTTGGAATAAGCCAGTCTCGACGGTCTTTGGTTTCGTTTGTGATTGGTCTAAAAGGACAGCATGTTTACTCTGATCGGTTAAAACACAAATACGGGTTTTTAAATCTTGGAGATCTGTTAGAGAGCCTATCGCTGCAAAAAAAATGTCAAAAATGCTGCCGACTGCTCCCCCCCACAAGAACAGCTCAGTGGAGATTTCTAAGTAAGTAAGAATGAAGGTTCTGGAAACAACAGAGGGAACAGTCGCGCAGGCTCACCTCGTGATCGATCATGACACTCTGCGATGATTTCTGGAACGCGTTTGATAGCGTTATGTTCACGGGCAAATCAAGTTTAACAATTGTGTCCGTCCATTTTAGATCGTGATGTTGCAGTCAAGTTTTTAAGCAATCTGAGCAAAACCACAACTTCCAGTCAAGATCATCAAGAGTTCAGTAAAAAATCCTGCCGACTGCCTCCTACAATTTGCAAGAACAGCTCAGCGGAGATTTCTAAGTAAGTTTACATGAGACTGAACGTAAATTAAGTCTCCAAACCCCAGCAATTAGAATAACACACTGTTCTCCTCCGGTAAATGGCCAAATCCTGTCAGGACGTTCCTTTTTATAATATTTCCTTTTAGCTGAATAGCCTTAAACGGAAAGAATATTAAAACATTACTTTATCAGATAAAAGGCAAACACCCCGTGAGTTCAAGTGACCCTAGCGTAACTCAGTTCCACCAATTTCAACCGACTTTTGGAAGACCTTTCTCTTTATTCCTCAAGAGATGAAGAGACTGAGGGTGTCGGTGTCATTTGTTCACTCACTAACCAGATCCTATAAGGAGTTTAAATATTTAACCGCGAGATACCATTGACCGATTTTTAATTTGATTTTCTCTTTTCCAGAGCTGGCCGAGATGCTATCATTGATCAAGTTCGCCAGATGCTGCCAAAAGACGTTCGCGTCAGAGAACGACGCCGGCCTGCTAAATGCGCTCCACCAAGAGGCAAAAAGCCTGAAAAATTAAGATTTCCATTGTGTCCCCCTCGAGGCTGCGTTGTCAATAAAGGGGCACTCTTCATGCAACCGCACCGCTGTCTGCCGGGACATTTCGAAATCCATCCAGAATTCCAAATGACTGTCAAATGATAGTCGCTCCGCTGCTTTTCTTAGTCCCACTAGGACCTATGAAGAATTTGATTTTAAACATGTGGGATTTAGATATTTACTGTAAGGATGTCACTCTGTGATTATATGTTCTCCAGTTACACCTATTATAAAAAACATAGATCCATAATTATATACTTTAAATGCACATTTTGAACTGTGATAACGCACTCCATTTCCTTTCCGTGAATCTGTCTTTTTTCCTTTCCTCTAGCTTTCTGTTTCTGTGACCGGTCACATCAATATGCCAAGGTTTTTTCCCTAAGTTATCTTGCGCGCAGTACGCGTTTAGCACATTTCTGTAGAGATATCTTTAGTTTGTCATATAGCAGGGGGCAGTGTGAAACAACGATTACCTTTTAAAAGAACATAAATCTTTGTCAAGCCCAAGATATACTTACAACTCCTACTATAGACAACTTTATGGGAAAAATCCAGCCTCTGGCTGACACACGCACTGTCTCAGTTCCACCAATTGTGATATAAATAAACTACTAGACTAGTTTTTGTTTGTGGTTATATCGGGTCAGTAGTGTCCCGCTATTCCAGACTACTCCAGTGAAACATGATTTTCTTTAAAAGTAAATAAACACAAACTCTGCATTTAATTTCCTTCCTACCCACTGTTTGAATACAAGTTGAATACAAATTGAATTGAATACAAATTGAATGCAAGTGTTTTTAAAACACCGATAATTCGAGAAACCAAGCCAGAAACCAATGAAAGTTTCAACAAAAAACCCTTGCAACAAATAAACCAATCAGTAGCTAGGCGGCATGTGGCGGGGCGCGTCGAGTTGAAAACAAAGGCGCGAAAATTTATTTATAATTCTTCTCCTCCACGAAAGGCGACAGAGTGACGACGAAAGTTTTATGGAATTAAACTCTAAATCGATTTGCCAGCCTTTTAATACCGTGACATAGTCAGGCAAGTATAAACTACAGGAGAACTCTACAAGAAAGAATTTTGGCGGAAACTGAATTTAGCGGGTAAGTACCGAGTAATCGCATTTGTTAGTTTGAATAAGCTTTTATTTAGTGCACGAAGCTTAAATTGTATTGCTAGAATCAAGTTTAGACAGACCGTTATTTCAAACCGGATATTGTAGCCAATAAACAGAAGCAAAACTATCCTACTGACCTATATTTTCTTTTCATTGTTCACAGAAACAATGCACAGCTACAGAAACAAAATAGTTCTAAAACCAAATGTTCAGAGGAACATTCAAACATGTTCATACGACGTGGAGACCTTCATACGATTCTCTTGTAACTTAAGGAGCTCATGGTAGGTAAGCTTATACATCGAATAATTCTTGAGAAGTATTTGCATTTCGGATTATCCTCTTCAACTCTGTGTAGCCGACAAAAGACTGCCGTTGTAAAACTACCGTTTAATTAAGGATATTAATTAAGAGGACATTCGAGTACAATCTTCTGACTGTAAAAAGCCCCATCATGTAAACTGGAGCGATTTATATCCCGGAGGGATAACCATGGGGAGATTTTAAGGTTAACTTGGGCTGAAAATTGAATTATGAATACAAATATGTACGTAAATTGGTCTGAAAACTGTAACAATATTAAATTCTAGAGACGAGTTTCACCTCCCGTTTAATACTCTCTATGCGCATGAAAGAAAAGGAATCTCTGTGTTGCTTTATTCTCTCGGTTATTACTTTACACACTGTACTTTACCGAGCTCAACTGAGGGAATTTACTAGCCTACATCGTACAGCTGCGGCCCCATGCATGCGTCCCCACTGGGGGCAATAAGGATTGACTGAATGATGACATCGTACAGCTCGTATCATCAGGAGCAGAGTTCATTGAATTCTTGTTTTCAACTTATTTAAGTAGTTTATTTGTGAATTTCTCATATGCATATAAGTATACGTTTGAAAGGATTCTGAACGCTTTCTTGATAATACTTTAATTTGTTACCACAGTAGGGGATTTCTGCCCAAAAGCCACCACATTTCTGGAGTTCAATTTCTACTCCTTATCTTATCCACACAGGCTCTTGTTCGTCTCGGCTAGTCTTAATTGCAGGTCTTGCTCAGTAGCAACCTCAGTTAAACGACTAGCCTTCACCTATGGCCGCATTATCCCTCATAATTACAGCTGCAGATTGGCAACGGAAGACGCTTGAAAAATACTGATCAATACTGTGAGTTTCATTGTGAGTTAATATGGTAGAGTTAATTTATAGGTCTAAATGAACCTGCAGCTATAATGCTGCTGGACTTTAATTTTGCCATACGATGGGTGACCCAGGGCGATGGGTGTTGGGTCTCCCTGTCCCCTTTTCACTTTTCAGTCTTTCGACCACATATCGTCGCGAGCGTTCTGTTTTCTCTCCGATTTACTTTGCCTCTACTCCGGCCACACTTCAGACCCTCTTCGGCTTGTTTTCGTGCTGCTGTCTTTGGCTTCAGCGTCATGTCCTGCTTTGCTGTTTCCTTTATTGATTCTTATTCTTAACGTTTCGGAAAGGCCTATAATGACAAATAGAGTTTATTTTGAAAAATAAGAACTACACAAAGACAAGCAACGTCCGGATGTGGTCTTTACATCCTTATGACGCCATTTGAGAGTGATGTCACAGTTACATTTTCGTTTGTTGTCTTGAACATTGCGGTGTGTCCGATATCAATAAATGAACGTCAATAGGTTTTGTTATAATGAGAAAATGAAGAACGTGCAAAAGTCCACGATCGGCGTCTTCAACGTGATATGAGCCCATAAACAGCTAATGTAACCTCCGTAATAATAACAATAACTCAGAGATGGGAAAAAAGCAAAAAATGTTTCGATATGGTCATGTCGCAACTGTGAAGTGATCTGTTAATGACGTTAAGATGATTACACTGAGGCTTAAGCTAGGGACGAAATCAGGTTTTTTTATTAGGTGTTTTATTGTGTAGTATCGCTTCATATTTTTTACGTCTGATGCTGTATTTTGACGAGCCTATATGGGGAAAACAAACAAACAAGCAAACAAACAAAAGTTAAACAAAAAGAAAACGATACAATCAACGTTAAAATACAAAAAACGATACTACACCCACGACCCAATTGATGTTAGATCGTATACAGTAGCAAAGAAAGAAACAGATTAATTGAAATTAAATTTTTAACTCAGTTTCGTTTTCATGGCAACGAAATGAAGAATTTAACGTAGGCGAAATACCAGAAGATATTTGCACTCGGTTCTGATATTATTTGTACTCGTAGTCACTGAGAGCACAATAAGATAGAACTTGTTATTACTAGACAGATTGAAGTGATTTAGAGATTTCCGTCCTGTAATAACACAATAACTAATTCTTGCTGTAAATGTTTAGCTCCTGTATATAGAAGAGACACCCATAGGTGTTGACATACCTTCATGGCTGATGTAAAGGAAAGACACAAACGAGTTTGAGAGAACTCCAACTTAGTTTTATGTGAACCTGGAGAGGAACAAAAGACTTACGAGTTCTCCCAGACTTTCTCCAGTCATTCGCTATCAGCAACAAAACATCATTTAAAAAAATAGCCCGCTTCTTTACTAAAAAGAATGTTAGATGGCGTAACTGTGACACCATAGCCTTACTCACGTACAGGATCATAGACTGATCAGCATAGTAAGTCAATGAAATAAAAATAACTAAACACATTATTGATTAATGCCAAAAGAAGAACGCACCAACGTTACTAGGTTATATTTTACGACTAAGAATTTCAGTAAGCTGTAGATATAACAGAATGGAAACGATTTTCATGACAAACGACTTCCCGTTGTACGTGGACAGATTGAGTTGTCATTGGAATAGAAACAAAAGTTTTATAAGCACTTCTCTTATAAAATAGCCTGACATTGTCAGTGATGAAGGAATCAGTTAAGCAAAGAGTCACCAAAACTTCCCTGACTTGAACTTTTCGATTTCTCTGTTTTTTTATGTCTGGTTCAGAATTTTGAGAGAAAACTGCAATTATAAAGTGCTATATTGGCGAATGACTTTGTCAGTCGGTTTCTTAATCATGCGCGACTTGTTTTCCCCTATACATAATGCCAAGTTGTATGGTCGATCTACGTCACAGTTCAATACTTTCCATGTCGTCCGAGCTCAGGGGGCCATAGCATTAAATGATCCACGAAAATGTCCAAAACACATAGACTTTTTGTATACCGTTCCGTTTGAGGGAACCCAAATCATGTTTTCTCACTGCCTAAGAACAGTCTGTTTGAAACTGTAAGGCACTGACGTCGACTTGCTTGCAGTAAAAAGTTCTTGTTTTCTCTTTAAAATGTATAGGTTTTAATATTTCATGAGAGAAGTATTTTCAGCATTTCGTAATATTTCCTAGTCTCATCCCCCTGTAAGGGATTCAATTTACTTAACAGTTTTATTATTACCTTATATTTAGCTATACACGGCAATATTGTTAACTGTCAGTTTAATAACAGATTTAACAGTTTTCATATAAGCACCGTTTCAGAAGTGAGTTTCGGTAAGACCTCCTTCTCACGATGTTTTAAGGCACGCAGGTCACGTATTATAGACTCTGCTGATTTCAAGTCTTGATAGCAGCGACTGAGTTTTTATCTCTTCAATGGAGTATTTTCAGCTTCCAAACATACTTTTGGAAAGTTTCTTTTATTTCATGTTGTTTTATCCTAATTCCTCTGTACTCCAAGATTTGTAAAAAAGGTAACTCTCATTCCTTGCCTCGGCACTGTTTACAACTTAATGCTGACGTACTCAGTGTCAGTCAGGCGTGTAAGAGATTGCCGGGGACACATTAGATTCGCCAGCCCTGGATGAGGCAATAGCACTTCTGTTTGCATCATTTTGGACCATTTGTTGTAAGCAAAATACGTGCACCGCTCCTGTGCCCTTTTCTTTAACCGATTTTCGGGAAAGGAAACATTATCGTTATCTTGGGTCATAAACTGGTATTGATTATGCTTCCGGGTACGTGCTGTTCTTTCTCACTACAAAACGGTCGAATAACGAGTTCCGTTTCCCATTTGGTAGAAAGGGAAGTAGACACGTTTTTTTACTTCTTTATGTATTCAGTTTATGAGGTTTGGCGATAAACACGGCATTCGGGCAAAGTGTCTATCACGCACCCGACTCACCATAAAAGAGAACTTTTGAGCAAGATCCTTGAGGAACACGATCAATAATTTAACTTTCTTCTTTGTTAAGTCAGTGTGCGTGGGTTGATCAGTATGCATTTTATATTGGCCGTCAACTCACGCCAGAAACGTTATCCAAAACGTTTCAATTTTTTTTCCGTGTTTTCCGCGACTAAAGCCGCTTCCGTGGACAGCAGTTTTGTTCTGATGCATGATATTGCTGTGACGAACCTTCAGTGTAACGTTCTTTCTCAGTGAATATGGCAGTCTGGTTGTAATCGGAAAAATGTTGATTGTAATTCAACCGCACTCGAATGGTAATCGAAGTTATGGAGTGGAGAGGCTTTGTCGGGTGACGGCACATTAATTAGTTAGCCTGAGGGAACGAGCCACAGGAGACTCACAGGAGAGGGTTTACATAAGTAGTTGTATTCTCTACAAACGTTCTCAGTCAAATGTTTACATCAAC